ACACACACACACACACACACACACACACACACACACACACACACACAGCTATGAACTATGACCACCTGATGTCTCGTAAGCTGTTCACGAGCACCTGTGTAGCTCTATGCAGGACACCATCAAAGGCCCAAGAGGTCTTTATTCATCTTTGATGAAAAAATGGGTGTAAAAATTGGAAGAAAAACGAACGCACAAATTCACCGTTACCTTGTGTTCACACCAAACCAGAAGCAAATTTTTCACCTCGTCTTTTACCGCGGGATCGTTTGTGTTTATTCACGTGACTCACGCTAAACGCTCCAGAGAGAAAAAGGGGCCGAACTCCTCCATCTGGATACCAACGTTTCACCAACCATGGCCGACTGTTGGTGCTCTACGTCAGAGGACCAGACGCCGTCGTGTCTGCTCCGTTAATGACTTATTATTACTTATTATTCACTTTATCCAACAAGCTACACGTCGGCTAGCTTACTGCGAGGGTAAGAACCCAAACTAAAGAGTTTTTGCTCTGTTTTAATTACACATAATAAATAAAAAGGATGATAAAATAACGACATAATGATGCTCATTTTATAGAAAGTCTGGATTTATGTTTTGTCAGATCTGTCCACAAGACATCTTTTTAAAATGCTTGTTTTCTGAATGGTGTTCACGGCGATCGGTGCTATGCTATGCTAACTCTTTAGCTGCTCCATCAACACAAGATAACGTCATCTATGAGGTACTAACGTAGAGCTCTGACCACAGACCACTACAATACTTCTTTCCTCCATTTCTGATTCAAAAACGTCAGTGACGTCGTAGGAGGAGAGTCTCAACGTCTCCGCATCGACTTCGTATGTAATGAAAGGTTTGCTTCGTGTTTGGTGTTCACACAGCATTAAATGTTTTACTTTGAAAGGATTCTATTATTGTTATCACAGTTTGTTTGGCGGCTGCTGTGCTGAATCAAATGACAGCACGGGGCTTTTGTACCGTTTTGTTCTTTTGGTTGTATGCAAATAATATGTCAAGCAAAGAAAAGTAAGAAACTATTTGCCTTATTGCAGGATTTCTCCTGAGCTTCTACGTGTTCACGGACCTCTCTCCAGATATTTTATACACGGGGTTAAATCAGAATGACAGGATCCTTTCAAAATAAAACACTCACTTTGCCAGCTGTCAGATCCAGGTGAGAAGAGTCTGTTTGATGTGTTAGCTGGTAAAAAGGAAACACTCAGCTTTGTTTTGTTCACATATGCCTCTCTGTTCTTATTCTGTCTCACCGTCACGATAACGGTATGCAGTGATGCATTCAGACGAATGTCTCGCTATTAAACTAAACGAGTGTTAATGGTTTGTAATAACTGACCATTTACGTTTTTATTTTCCATTGCTGTGTAGTTTTGCACTGAGCGGATGCTGTTATTTATTGTTGCATATTTTAAGTGTGTGTTTTGGTCAGACGGAGTTTTCATATATCCCATAATTCAAGATTCGTTACGTTTGAAGAGAGAAGAGACACAACGGCCGTCTGATCATTTTCAATCTCCTCTCTTCCGTCAGCGTTGCTGAGCTCGTATATATTTGTACTACTGTCAGTAAAAACATGGATTGAAGCTCACATGTACCAACATCCTTTTTAACTCCTCCAAATGTTTGCACTTTGGTCTACTACTGAAAAAGAAGTGTCATGAAGCTCTAAATGAATGTAAACCGTTTACCACAGATCTTCCGTTTGATCCATTTGTTCCTGAGTTACTCGAGTCAGATTAACACCCAAAACAGATTATAATAGTTATTTAATTTTGTCGATTTGTTTCTTCAATAAGAGTGCTGTTTTGATTCTTTGTGCAATTCATAGGTTTTACTCAGATTTTGTCTCCGTTGTGGTTTTTGTTGTACAGTTCTAGATGTTAAAACATGGACTATGCTCTATTTTATAACCACTGGATACGCCTTTTGTTAATTAATAAAATTGAAATCTATCTGTTGTCAAATGATGTGTATGATTTGTTGATGTGAAGACATTTAAAATCGAGTGAGTTCTGCTCTCCACAGTATTGATTTAAAGGTTTTGAGGATCACGTTATTAATAAAACACTCATATTTATACAGGTCATCATTCAAAGTGAACAAAAACATATTAAAAGTCTTTGCAGCATCAGAGCTTAGTGTGGAAAACCTCACCTCAGTTAGCTGAGCTCGCCAGAATTCCAGTTAATTAACCTTTCAGTTACAGAGAATTGTCTCCGGTTTAAACACATTTATCACCGTCGCATGTTTCTGTGTCACTTCTCTCAGTCTCCACTAGATGTCAGAAAAAGGACGGATAATAAGAAACATGATTATTGGACCTAAACTCAGAAGTTACTTCAATACCAGAAATCAGCTGTTCCATATGTAAATGTAACATGCATGAGTTTTAGCTAATATTGGGTTTAATTAAATGCAGCTCAGTCTTTGCATGATGGACTTGGGTATCTGAACTGCAGCACATAAAGGTTCTTGTGTAACAAAACTCTTAATTTTCACAATCCAGATGCCCCGAAGATTATTTTTGGGAAGTTCAAATGCCAAATAAATGCTGCAGAGTCGGATCCGGATACCACCTACAGGCACCTCTGAAGCTCACTAATGTCCACATTGGAGAGAAAGATGTGGGTCTTTGTGACTAAACCCTGAGGGACTCCTAACCCTGAGACGCTCTTTATGACGCCGTCCTTGTTCAAGCACTTGTTTTATAGATGCCACTCATTCCACCGGGTCCCGCTGCTGATTTATATTTCCATGAAGCAGTGTGAATATAATGGGTTTAAAGCGCTGCTTGCTTTATGTTATTGTGGTGCTGTTGCGTCCATGTTGGCATCTCTTATCAGACCCAGAGGTTTCTCTGTGTGTGTAGTTACAGTAGTTTACCATTGTTGCTGAGACTATCCTCTAATCTCCTCTTCTGCCTTTGATAAATTGAGTCAAATATGTGCACATAATACTCAACACCTGACAAAAAAAACCCTCGTACTCATTCCTTCATCTGCTGACAAACGTGATTACCACCCCCGCTTACCTCCATACAACACTCATTCAATCCTTCCTTGACAAACACTTTTGTATTTATTCATTCAGCGTTGCCCGGCGACTACCTTTACCACATTAAATTATGATCCATTCCCTCAGAGCATTAGCGTCCGGGTTATTCAGCCCTCCTCAGTCTGACTAAATCAGGCGGTTTGTGGTCGAATGGGCCCCAAATGAGTCGCGTTATTCTTTCCACACTAAGCAGAGATAAACTCACGCCTCCCAATATGCTGTCGGGAAACCATTTAGCCGCTTCCTATAGTGTATCACTTACATACTGTATCTGTGTGTGTGTGAGAGAGAGAAAGCAATTACCAGAGCTCGTGTAGCCGCAGCTTAATGGAATAACTTGCCAAATCGTTGCCGATTACACTTGCAAATCCATGTGATATCAGTCCCTGAATTCAATTTGAGGTGCGATGCTGAATATCCGAGATGACAGGAAACCGTTTGACTGTGATTTTATGACCAGCAACAGAGACAACTTGCAGTATTTGCAAGAACTTCTTTGTTTACATTGTTTTCATAACATCCATCTATCTTTTTACTCATTTCTACCTGTTGTAATTTACTTTTTCTATTTTAATTTAATTCGTAGATGTATCTTATTGCTTTTCTATTCTGCACTGGTGTCAGTATTACTTTTTAGACACTTAATATTTATTGTTTATATATATTTCCTCTATTGTTTTTGAATTAATATTCTGTTGTAATCTTTGATCAATCTCTGGCACAAGAAGTTCCTTTGCTATTAATTAAGCTTATCTTTTCCCATCTTATCTTCTCCACTTTCACTTTAGCTTTCCGAAGAGTTTGGCATGAAATATGCGTCACGAAAAAGGTTGTTCATCCTTTAAGATGCATCACACTAATAGAAATAATAGTTACTCTAAATAACTTTGTCTCTAATACATTTGTGATTTCCAGAAATAAAGATCAGAGTGATAGCTCTTTAATTTTGTCTGGTCTCAGAAGCAGTTAATTCAGGGTCCAACATTTTGATAAATAATACATAATAAATACATTCATGTCGGGTTATTGTGTTGGAAATAAAAGGACAACAAATGTATATGATGTGCGTATAGCGATGGAAGAACATATCTTCTGATATTATGGTGTAGTGGAGTGTATCACACACACATACTGTGTGTTTAATAGTGAACATGAGGGTTGAGCTACTGGCTTTATGTTATGAAGATAACTCCTCACCTCAGCAGCTCATCGGCTGCTGCCTGCAGCGTATTTGATCAGTTTTTCCCTGTTTGAGAGAAAGATGTGGGTCTTTGTGGCAAAACCCTGAGGGACTCCTAACCCTGAGACGCTCTTTATGATGCCGTCCTTGTTCAAGCACTTATTTTATAGATGCCACTCATTCCACCGGGTACTGCTGCTGCTGCTGATTTATATTTCCATAAAGCAATGTGAATATAATGGGCTTAAAGCGCTGCTTGCTTTGGGACAGACAGGAGGGAGACCCTCTGCTGGTGATCGGTCGGGCAGGGAGACGATATTAAATCACTTTTTACTGTCGTTAACCGTTTTAAAATGACGGACTTGTGCAATGAGGAGTACGATTTTGGCCGGTTTGAAGGATTTTTGGTCTGTTGTACTGAGATGTTTTTTTATTACCTCAACATTATGTGATTTTATTCAGAAAATCAGACGACGTTCACGTTTAAAAGATAAACTCTTGTGAAACACGCTTCTGTGGTGCAGCTCGACCCACAACAATCATGCTTCACAATCACAGTTTTCGGGGGGATTGTAGGCTGAATTGTGGGCGTTCCATTTTAACACCCTTTTCTTTTAAGGGTTCCTCAGAAACAAATAGTTCTGGTTAGAACCAGAAAAACCTGTATAGGACCTTATTAAGACTATTACAGATGGATTGTCCCAGTTTGTAATTATATTTTCATTTCTTCTTTACATTACAGTCATTCAGCAGACGCTTTTATCCAAAGCGACTTACAATTCAGAGTCTATCACATTTCTACACATTAAGCACAGCTACGGGAGCAATTTTGGGGTTAAGTGTCTTGCTCAAGGACACATCGACATGCGACTAGCGGAGCCGGAGCTCGAACCGCCGACCCTCTGATTGAAAGACGGCCCTGCTATCCACTTAGCCACAATCACCCCCTACAATAATAATTCAAATACACCCCAATAATAATTCAAATACACCCCATAGATGCTTGACTGATGCCATGAATTATGTGTCAATATAATCATTATCATTCCTTTACTTAAAGTAGTTTTCTCTGGAAACCTAAAGAGACTGAAGAACAGAATCTAAAACATTTATATGATCAGCACTGATATCTATTATTCAATGAAAGACCTATTGACCCAAATATATTGGTCCACCTCCACATCTCTCTCTCTCTGTTCCAGTATGAGCTCACTGTTTGCTGCTGGCAAGGAGACAAACGGAGACACTTAGTTAGTGTCAAGACACTGCTCTAAGTCTCTCCTCTTCCTCTCTCCTCTTGCTCTCTCTCTCACTTCCCTCCTCGCTCATTTTCATTTTCTTACCAACAACACGAGCCGACGTCCCTCATTTATCAAACTGGCCCATTTCACTAACGTCTGTTGCCTGAGTTTCAACATTAATTTGTAATGTGACAAAAACAAATCTGGGTCATGCTCACATTTGAAATGTGGGAATTTGTCTGAAATATCGACCATCGCAAAAAACTCATTCCTGCACGTTTCTGTATTTATGGATGTAAATGTGCATTTGTTGGTGTAAAATATCTTCATGTGCTGGAGTCTGAGAGAGTGAGGGACACAGAAAGAGAGGCTACATGACAGCTGCACTATCTCTGAATGACAGACTAACAAGGCGTGTGTGTGTGTGTGTGTGTGTGTGTGTGTGTGTGTGTGTGTGTGTCTGATTGTCTAGAGAAGCAGCTCCTTTTATATTCAGAACTACAACCGAAATCTGAGAAAGACGAAATGATGAAGCAGAAAAAGATTGAGTGGGGGAAAAAAAGACGAGAGTGGGAGTCATGATTGGAGCATACTGCTGACAGGGTGTGGTCACTAAAAGACAGAAGGGAGATGAAGAGGG